ACACATATAAGGATATGATTTATTACAGTCAGTAACTTGCTATTTACCGTCGCATGTGAAATATTAATCTATGGGTAATCATTACAGACTAAATAATAGATGTGGCTAGAATGATGTAAATATTTTGTTCTTTGTCATTGAATAATGGATGATTAAAACATGACGGTGATACAGTGGCCTAAACACATATCGGAGAAATATTAGAAAACAAACAGAACTTAAGCACAAGGACAGAAGAAAATTAATTGAAGATAAGATTTACAAAAGAGACACAATAAACAGGGAAAAAATGACTATACAGAAAAGAAGTACAGAAAGTTGAATTCATCCAATTCTGGTATGGCGCATTGCGAAATAGAATAGATTATCAATTCAGGATGCCCATCGATGTCTATGGTACATTACTGCAACATGTATTATTTATTTGTAGATGGCAACAGTAAATTATCATATCACGGGGAAGGGATATTCTTTAAAGTGCTGTATATTATTCACATATGTATATTTGAGAATATCAAACATTTCATGGCATTTGCCACCCCTAATTTGTTGAGTAGTTCCAACAAGTTCAAGATATCGATAAAAATGAATCCAAAAGGTTCTTGAATTGAAAGTGCATTTTCTTGTACGACAGAATGCGCTATGAAAGTAACCAGTAATGTAAGAAAATGACAATAAAAAAGAAATATGCTTCTTTTATGAGACCGTGATTGTATAAATAATAAATTATTAAAAACACAACTAGAAATACGGTAATTTGCAAAAGAGCCTACCATTATACATACATACATGTATATATATATATATATATATATATATATATATATATATATATATATATGGACAATGGACAAAGTCCGACAATTATTTCAAGACATTTTTATGTTTAACATTATTTTTATAGATACAAATATTTAAGTAAATGCTCTGTTTCACGCCGGTAAATGTTATTTAATACTGTTTATTATAAACAGAGCATTTACTTAAATATTTGTATCTATAAAAAGAATGTTAAACCTAAAAATGTCTTTATATATTAAAAGTAATAAATCCGTTGAAATATAATCCAAGTGGAACTTTATTTACATTATTCGGACTATTGATGGATATCAGTTTTCTCGTGTTAATTTCCCTCTGAAAGATTCTCCACTGCCTTAACCGGGTATTGAACTTAAACTCTTTGGGTCCTGTCAATGGATGTAACCAACGCCTTTTTCCACTGTGCCATGTGTCCTTGAAGGCATTTTGGGCATGAATTTCTGGGTATTATAAACCTAATGTCTTCAGCAACCATTTTCAATAGTGCTCATATTGAATACATCAAACATGGCACGTGGAACTAGGACAGTATACCCCAGTGAGCGAAATAAAGGATTCATTTCCAATCACCTGAAGAAGGCCGGAGCGTACAACGGCCGAAACTTTGTGATAAATATGGCGACAAAGATGAGGACAATAGTCCGAATAATGTACATAATACTTCATTTCAGAAATATAGACAGACTCTGTAGTGGATCCTTGTCGTGTAAAATCCACAAAAAGAACTCAGTGTAATTTTCAGAGAGAATATTATTACACAATAAAATCCTAAATCACGTCATATGGTTAATAAGCTTATTTCGACCGACGGAAATATTCGTCAGTCTTATTTAACTCCGGTATAGACTGAGTCTATGTCGGAAATAGAATTTTAACTGAGAAAGCTAAACAGAAACCGTAGAAAAACTAATACAGACTTTATCCATTTAAATGTTTCACTCAGACGAAAAGCACGAGAAAGTGATCAAAGGAGCTGGAAGAGATTAGTCCTAAAATGAGGAGATTTACAAAATTATACCCGGAAAATAACCTCATGACATTAAATTGGGTTTATATACAGAATGTAATGTTAATTTAGAAGAGAGAAATAAAAACGGTTTTAAAAAACTTTAAAATACATACATAATGTTATATTTAAAAATGAAAAATCATACTTAGAAGTAAAAAATTATATTCCAAAAATATATCCCACCTTACAAACAGATTCCTGTTGATTTTCTTTTAATTTCTCAGATTCGATTGTAAGGTGGAAAATTAAAAAAAAAAAAAAGGACAAAGTCTTAAGACAGCCACAACACTATTTGCAACATCTGCCAACAGGAAAAATTAACAATTATAACATTTCCGGATCCTAAGAAACATTTCAACCAGAAAACCGAATCCTTGCTTTCATCTTAGAAATTTCCTCTTAAGCACATATGGAGCTAGATAAAAAAATGTACATTTCAATTATCCCCACCCCTACCGATACATATACAATACCCTTATTTTCTTCTCTTCACCCTTCTTCTACTTCTTCTGCTTCTTACTTCTTCACAACCTCCTCCGCCATTTCTATTACACCCAAATGCACACATCGTGCAATTGATAATTTATTTATTAAAATAAAAATATAGCGACTATTACCTGTCTATACTTTTGAGATGAGGTATTATGTATACTATTTACTTTATTCGGACTATTGTCCTATTCTTTGTCGCCATATTTATTACAACGCTTGGGCCTCAAGGACACATGGCACAGTGGATAAAGGTGTTAGTTAGATCAAGAGACAGGACCCAAAGAGTGTGAGTTCAATTCACGGTTAAGTCAGTGAACACTAGGAGAAGGGAATTAACGGGAGATAACTGATAACTGAGATTCATTAAACGTGGCACATGGAAATAGAACAGGCTACCCCACTGAGCGAAATAAAGGGTTCAGTTCGACATTCCAAACACCTGAAAAAAGCCGGTGGGCGTACAACGGCCGAAACGTTGTAATAAATATGGCGACAAAGTTGAAGACAATTGTCCGAATAATGTAAATAGCGACTATTACTTTTCTAATAAAAATACAGCGTAAAGAGGTCATTTAATAAAAATCTCCTGGTGAACCAAGGTACCGAATTCACCTGACCTCCTGATTGTTAAAGTTAAAAGATGTACATGTTAGTTTTACATTTAATATATTTTTCACACGTGCACTGTTTCCTGCTCTGATTCACATTTGAGTTTTAACGTTTCATATATATATATATATATATATATATATATATATAAGAACATATATAAAATAATTTTACATACATATAGATAAGTATATAAATTTATATATATAAATAGAAATATATATATATAAATAACATAAATTCATATATGTAAATTTTTATATATATTATATAAATGTATATACATATAGAATATAAATTTATATATATATATATATATATATATATTACATCAAAAATAGAAAAACTTACCTCAACATAGGTAAAGTCTATTTCAAACCGTTCTTCACACGGCTGTCATCAGCCTTTAAGTGCTTGTCTCGGATCATTGTTCTAAATTTATTTTCAAAGTCAATACTCCTCTAGTAGGAGACTTGTTAATGTGAGTGGTTTTCTGTTAGCGGTTGGAAGCGGTCTGGGCTACGAGATTATTTATGTCCAGGATTTTTGTTTGTAGTTTAATATCACTCCCTATTATATGGCGTTTCTCATAAAGGCCCTGAAATATGTTTTTCTGGATTCACGGTAAATTGTTTTTGCGATGAGTGATTTAAACTTACGTCCGTTAAGATTAATGTATATTTTTTGATTCATAGATTTATACATTGTGGCTCATACCATAGCACCCAGTGGATTAATTCCTACTGTCGAACACATTTATATGTGTACATATCTCCTTACATACATATATGTGTACATTTAAGTGTTCATACATATATGCCACTATACATAGACATACACCACAACATATATGCACATGTATTTTTATGTCTTTTGGAATTTATTTCTATGTCGACATTTCATGATTATTTCTCTCCGTTGATTTAATAGTTTGCATTGATCTTTATATTGTATTATCTTGAATTTTTCTTCTAAACGTAGCTTGCACCTACCGCTAAAACTATTGGTGGTGTTCACAAAACCTAGAATTTTACAATTTATTTTCAGGATTCAAACGCTTTTCCTTCAATTCCCTACATTTAACACCATCACTTGATAAAACACCAGAAGTGTTGAAGCCGAACGGCTATTTTTGTAGTGATTTTATAACATATTCATGCTATAATTTTCGAATAAATTATATATATATATATATATATATATATATATATATATATATATATATATATATAAATTATTAATAGATAGGAATAATTTCAAGTACGATATTAACCCAAAGAGTGCTCAATGTAAGAAACAGAGCAATATAATAAAATGTGAAGAAACTCATTAAAAATCCATATCGGTTAAAATTTATTTCATGAATATATTTATATATTCATCTGTTCAGACCGAAGTTTTTTTTTAGAAAAATGAAAATTTAGAACCCATCCGTCTGAACAGATGAATATATAAATATATTCATGAAATATATGAATTCAAGATGGATTTTAAGTGTTTTCTTGACACACAGATATATATATATATATATATATATATATATATATATATATATATATATTGGAAATCCGAAGTGCTAAGTACTTGCAAAATCCACGTTTGTTTATATTTAATTTTAAAGGATTTGGTTTTCTGCTGTGTCTTTCTAATTTCAGTTCAAATATGGTGGAGTGTTAACATTGGTACTTACCTTGTATATGTTTGTCTCTTCCTGCATACAACTGTGTTCTGTACGTTTAGAATTTTTTGCGTTGTTAGCTTTGTTTTTTATCTTACTGCTCTGATTTCGTGTCTTTTACTGCATAGGATTATGGTTCCTGCTCTTGTGTATTTAGCAGTAATGTTTCAGTAAAGATCATTTCTCTTCAGGTCTATATTTAACCAATCTGTGTTCGGAGATCTCCCCGAAAAATAAATGCCATAATATTGTTTTGGAGATCTCTCTCTGACGCCGTTCGGCTGACGTAGAAATCTTTAATTTCCATGGCTGCCTTTGCATTTTTAGCTCCTGCAATAGGCGTTAACATGAAGAAACAAACATTTACAGCTACAAAGTTAAGGCGCTTTTAGAATGAACGAATTATGTATTTTCTATATCCTGGATATCTATCTATCTATCTATCTATCTATCTATCTATCTCAGTCACTACTCAAAATTAAAATAAAAGTGAAAATAAACGAAACCGAGTTTAAAATCACCAAAGGATATATAAAAATAGGAATTTCAACATATTAGTATACAACACACTCAATAATCTAGAGATTTCCACTTAGGAAAACGACAGAAAATATATTTATCTACCTGCCTATCTATCTATCTATCTATCTATCTATCTATCTATCTATGTGTCTGTCCAAGTCTGTTTTTGATCTGTCTATTTGTAAACGCTTATTTCATACATTAGAATTACATACACACTGCCATATATATCAGTGTGTAACATTAAGTATAAAGCCCTAATAAGTAATTATTATTAATTTGATCTGATAATACCATTTTTACGTATACGATATAAAATTCTATGTTGTTATTTATTAAGTTTAATTTAACTCGGCACTGGGTTACATGCATTGGGCACGTAGTGCGGATCAATATTTATTTACTAGTTATGGTCACCTAGAAAAGCGCGCTAACATCTGCTCATACTGGCACGCAGGCAAGTCATTTCGGCAGCGATTCTGCTAAAAATATGTCGCCTATGCCACAAAGTCGAGGAACGTGTTCAATCCAGTGTTGCTTTAATTCAACGTCGACACTATAAATAGTCCCCTGAAAATGATCTCAAGGGTTCAGTCATAGATATAAGGTAATAGTTATGTGTTGCTGTTGACTCTGATGTGGATGTTATTAAATATTCATATCTTGAAGATGTTTCGACGAGAAAGAGTCTGATCGTTGAGGATGGAAATGAATAAGTTAGACCAACAAAAGCGTGAGTAAAGTGTATAAACATTTGTTCCTACAATGAGAGTTTGGTTATGTAACTATATTGGTAAATGTATGTGTGTGTATTTATATGCACCCGCCTGTGTGATTATGGAATCATATGTGCGTATATGTTGGTGATTGTTGGTTACGTGTTATCTTTGCAATCGATATGCATGTGCATTAATAGTGTAAGTATATGTATTTAATTCAATTTTGTACTTACGATTCCAAATGTACAGTACAAAGACACATGAACTGAGGTATATACGTCGTTTATTATATATAGTGAATATTATAGATAACATAATTATTGATTGAACGAGATATATTACATGAGAGATAACTGCGGATTGAAATAAGTAATTTTATGCATTATAAACAAAAGCAATAAAAGTGTAGTAAATACATTTACAGTTATCTAGTTAGAAATAAATACAAGAATAAAAGACAGGGATATCTATCTATCTATCTATCTATCTATCTATCTATCATTCGCGGTCTGTTCATTATCTATCTATCTATCTATCTATCTATCTATCTATCTACCATTCGCGGTCTGTTCATTATCTATCTATCTATCTATCTATCTATCTATCTATCTATCTATCTACCATTCGCGGTCTGTTCATTATCTATCTATCTATCTATCTATCTATCTATCTATCTATCTATCTATCTCAGTTTTATCATCTCCGTCTCTCGCGCTTTGTGTGTGTGATTTTTTTGTGTGTGATCCAAAGCTGTCGATGGGTGTGCTAGCATGAAGTCACACGTCATCACGACCGATGTACTGGCCCTATTAAAACGGTTGATGACGCCAGATAATGCGCTCTCTTCCAGAAATTGTGACTAAGGACGGCTCAGCATAGTTACAGCATAAACCACAGGTGAGCTCTGAGGTGTTGAACAAAAAGAAATCTGCCTGAGCAGGCCTCTCTGGATGTTCGGAAACGGGCGGATATTGTGTGTGTAAGTGCCTCTGTGAGTGTTTGTGTGTGTGCGTATATATATATATATATATATATATATATATATATATATATATATATATATATATATATATCCCGAAAAGGGATATATTTTTCGAAGTAGCAAAGTGGTATTTGACTACTGTAACCAAGTAGGGCAATCTAGCAGGTTACCGTAATGGACGGTTTACCGTCGTATTGGTAGGCAATAAGCGTAGGCAATAGGCGAAGACAATAGGCGTCGTCAATAGGCATCCCCCTGTACCTCCACATCAGTCTTTATTTATGGCTGACACCAGCCAATCATATTACTGTAAGGGGGAACCCAGGTGTATGCAAATTTATTACATCATATATATATATATATATTGGGGGGATGATATGATGAATAAATTATCGTCTAATTTACAAAAAGATTAAAATAACAATGGCATATCATTTTAGCAGATATATTAACAAAGTTACACAAACATACCTTGAAAGACTAAAGAGGAAATTTATTCAATAAAATCGCCATTGGCTTCGACCACGGTCTACAGACAACTTCGAAATCTCCTGTAACTCATCTGGACGGTCCCGATGTTGAAGTAGTTGAATGCTCCCATAATCCTTGGTGTTACAATGAATTCTGTTGGTCTCTCGATGAACTGCGTTCCACACATAATAATCAAGGAGTTTGCAGTCTGGGAGTTAGGTGGCTAGAAGGTGTGATGTGATTGCAGATACTGTCTGGGTTCTCATAGTTGTGTGGCTTGTACAGAGTCCTGTTGCTAGACATACAGTTTTCGAGCAGCGACTTTTTTTTAACTCTGGGCAGCACTACCTCCTCATGGACTTGATATAGTCTGCCGCGTTGAGTCTGAGACACTGTGGGAAGATGAATGGCGGCATATCTTCGCACTTACTAGCGATCGCCTGAAAACCTTCGTAATCAATATTAGACTCATCCAACTTTTTTTACCGAATTCTCTGCACTGTCCTCAGATTGAAACCCAAACGCTCTGAAATGTTTGCATTAGAACTTCTGGTGCGAATGCTAAGCAGTACAGCGTATTTTTTTATAAATTACTGGCGGAGTGTATTGCATCATGTTGCTGTTCTTCTCACAGACGGTGGCCAACTGACCTTACTATGCTCTGCAGTCGACAAAATGCTTGAAATTAAAAATGTGAACTGGTGACAATTTACACATTACACCCTGTATAACATGCATTTAAGCAGCCAAAAAAAATCATTGAAACACGTAATCTTAAGCAGCGTTGACAAGGTCTGCCTTTCATCCGAATTAAGTAGTTTCATTTTAGTATTAATATGCGTACACTTTCCTAAGTTATTTTTTTTTAAATAAGGGTATTTTTGAAAGTCACTTCATTTGTTAAGAATTGTGTGTTTAATCTGTTCATGAATATAAGTGATGCCGTTCGCTCCCTCGTTCTCATAAGGGTCATATGAAGGAAATATTGCGTATTTTGTGAGTAAGTGTTTGACCCTCAAAAGATGGTCCGCATGGATGCTAGTTTAATCATTCTAGGACATTATACTCTTTTGTGCAGATGTGGCAACGTTAGTTGTATGTTGCTGTAACAGTAATATTAATGTTTTCAGAAATTCCATATGACATTTTAGTTCATCAGTTGAGACAAAGACATTGCTACACACGCTTTAACTGGAAATGACTTTTAAAGTGTAGATAATGGTGATTTTCTTTCTATGGCTTTTCATTGTATGATTTTCAGCATTTGCTTTACTCAGGTAGAGGCGGCCACATTCATTACACTTAAGATCAAACTCTGGACCTTAAGGACATGTATTTATATAGGGCAGAATATCTGCGGGTGTCTGGAACTTGGTAATAATTCGCAAAGTGGTATCAACTGCATAGTATTTGCATTGGAGTGTTTCGAATTGATTAAAACTTGGTAGGAATCTTCCCAAATGCATTTGCCGATGATCTTTCATATCCGTTTTGAGGAAAAGTGTGATACTTGTAATATGGATAGTTTTCAAAGAATTCCATGATGAAATTTTCAGGAAACAAACTTCAATTACTTTGATGATATATAAATATATGTGTGAGTGTGTCTGTGTATACTTATATATATATATATATATATATATATATATATATATATTTGAGAATATAAATAATATATATATATATATATATATATATATATATATATTATTTGAGAATATAAATAAGAAAATAAAACCAAAAAATATAGAAAAAACTATGTACACAAAAAATACATTTAAAATTTTGTAGATACATGATGAGGAAATACATTCTAGAGAATTTAATACAGAAGACACACTAACTGAAAGATATTTAAAGTTAATAGCAATTTAAACTGTAAAAGAATGAGACCTAACTGCCAATCTAATACTGGGCTTAAATTCTGAAAGTCACGATACAAAAGAAGAAATCTTATATGAACAATTTCCATGAATATGTTTATACAAAATAACACAGGGAATCTATGATGCGGCGAGTCGAAGAATGTCTGATTCCGCTATGCAAGGTCAGGATGGATAATATTGCAGATAAGTCTTTGTATTTTATGAAGAATCTCTATATACAAAACAGAAGAACGAGACCAAATGTGACAGCAATATGCAATGTTCGTGTAATTTTACATGCTTCAGAACACGAAACATATTTTCCTGAATATGCATTGCTGACAAGCTCATGCGACTAAAATATTTTTTTTCACTGAGTCAAATACGGTGTATGATTTACAACAAAGAAATATCGAATTTTTAATCGTAAAACCTAGCATATTTTGTGGCATATTAGAAGTAGCCTTATAAAAGTTATTCAGTATGATAAATGATTTTAAAAAAATAAAATCTTGTTGAAAATTATATCGCCTGTAACTGGCTGAAGCTATGGGAAATTTATTATAACCTAAGTCTCAATTTCCTGCTTTGAACGCACGGTAACGTTAGTTATTAGCTTTTTAAAAACAAATATGTTTTATATATATATATATATATATATATATATATATATATATATATATATATATATATATATATATATATATATATGATGAATCGTCTGTTGTCTCAGTGTTTCAGAATTGTACCGAACCGTCATCATTCGAAATTTCTGATTATTAGCCCTCGACCGCATTTTTAGCAAACACGTAGAGTCCCTAACCGACTCTCCATTTGTCAAGCTTCTCACATCCCAGGCAAAGCAATTCAGACATTCAGCAATATGGATTTTGCTTCTCTTGGTCAAATGCTCATGTACCACCGATTTGGGCGCTTCAACGTTGTGTAATTGTTAGCAAACTAGTCTCGCTAGTTCAGTTACGAGTGAGAAGTGAGTACAATTCTCATTTGGAGCCCCACACAGTCGGCTTTGGGCCACATCTAAGCTACGATTAAAAATTCATTTTAGGGGAATTCGATATGCTGTAATGTTTAGCAAGTTTGTATTTCTAAAACAGTTACGGTTAAATAATGCGTTCGATCATTACCGGGTGTACAATACTTTTGGCCTTATGCCACATCTAAGCTATGCTTAGAAAATCACAATGTACTACCGATGATTACCGATCGATTATAGATATAGATAAGAATGGTGAAACTTGGTTGTTGATTTGGACATCTCTAAAGTGTTTGACGAAGTTTGGCATACCGATTTACCTTACCAGTTGAATGGTTATGGTGTTTCTGGATGAATTTTTTAACTGACTGAGTCTTCCTTATCAAATCGCAAAATGAAATTTGCCCTGAATAGCTACTTTTCTAGAACTTTTCGTAGTAATTCAGATGTCCTTCAAGCTCTATCCTTGAAACTAAGTTGTTCCTAAAGGTCATCAATGAACATCCTGATGACAACTCTTCTTAACTTGTTATCTCTACCGAGAACGCAACCATTTACCCCTGTTTTGATAGTAAATCTGATTAGTTCGATAAGGTCAAATCGGCAGCTGATCTAAAAAAAAACAACCTACAGTCTCTTGATAACTGGGGTAAGAATTGCCATGATAACATTAACGCCTCCAAAACGAAACATCTTCCTATTAAACATCTGAGAGATCCCTTTATGTCATTCATCACCAAGGCGGATGCTAACCTCCACTAGAGTTACTCCTTGCATTTTCTCTGGCTAACCTTTTCAGCTGATATGAAGTAGAAAGATTATATTGAATTCATTGTTAGTTATGCTGTTGAGAATTTTGGTTCGCTATGTCATGCTAAACAATATTTTCTGCAGAATATATCATACACATTTATAAGTATACCATTCGTCCATGCTTTGAATATTGCTGCTTCATACGTTTCGATAATGCTACTGTATATTTAGAGATTCTTGATAAAATCCAAAGAAGAATCAGCAATATTATTCGGTCTGACCTGGCGTATCGGCTGTAATTAGTTTCCCACCACCTAAGATAATTTTTCTTTGCATATAATATACTTTCATTTATTATAGATGTACTTCATTTACTATAAATACCTTATTGTTCAGATCAACTCTTCGCTATGGTACCTAGATTATAAATTTAAGCGCAGTACTAGATTGGCGGCAAGGTCTCATCAATTCAGAGTTGAATTAGCTAGATTTAACCGTTCGTTCTTTGCTAACAATTTCTTTTATCGCACTTGTCGCATGTGTAACTCTCTCACGGCTTAATGCTTTCCAGTCAACTTTGATCATCGAAATTTTAATTGCAATGTCAATCGTTGTCTACTGTTTTTCTTGATTACTTTTGCATTGTTTTAGCTGATTGAT